GAGGGGATTCTACAGACTGTTGAGGGTTCAGCCTCCTGATGAGTCGGTGAAACTCCGACGAAACAGTTTGTCACAGCCCCTCCTTTGTTGTCCTCTTCTCTCTCTCTGCCTACGGTTTACCGGGCAGTTCTGTTTGTGACGATATATATATATATGTGTGTGTGTGTGTGTCTGTGTGTGTGTATAGTCAACCACATATATATATATATAGTGCCAGCGGCGGTGGAGTGTATTTTTTGGCTGTGTCAGACCTGTATTTGTTTCGTGGGTGTTTTGCTGCCTTGCGTTGGGGTGCCAGCCGACAATCTGTAGAGTTTTCCATCAGATTCTGGTGTGGGTGAGTGGTAGTCTGCTTTGATATTCGTCACAGGTGCCTTGAGGGCAGTGGTTTTTTGCCCACCTCAGGGTATCAGTTGTCGGGCAGTAGTTGATGCTTAATATATGTATATGTATATATCTTCATGCAGAGCTGCCCGGTAAGCCGAAGGCACAGAGGGAGAAGAGGACAACAAACAAGGGGCTGTGACAAACTATATATATATATATATCGTCACAAATATATATATGTATCTTTTTAAGGCCGTGTCCTCTTTAGCTCGTGTCGCTAAACTGTTTGTCATCATCGGCTAGGAAATGGCAGGAGGCACACGTCTGCACAATTCTCCGTGGGGCTCAGCGTCCTCTGCTCTTCGCTCCATACTAGAAGATCGATCAGCATTGCAACCGTCTTAAGATACGGTAGACTCATTCCTTCCCCATGCCGCCCCGTCCTGGAGCAGCTTTCACGGCCGTCGGGTCATTCAACCCTTGACTTGGCGGTCCTACGCGAGCATGGATTGACACATCGTTTCTCTCGAGCTGATTATGAGTCGTCGTTTTCTTTGGCTGTGCGTCTGATCTTGCCTCTGCGTTCCTCATTACCCAAATCATCGACAACGATGAAACGGCAGAGCTGTACGAGCAGGCACTGAAGCACGAGAAGGGATCATTCATTACATCGACGGGAGCCATCGCCACGCTTTCGGGCGCGAAGACCGGTCGTTCACCCAAGGACAAGCGCGTCGTCAAGGATGAGACCACCGCACAGGAGCTCTGGTGGGGAGAGTAAGTGTCTACACTGACCTATTCGCTTGTCCGTTGCCTCTGACCTGTTTCTACTCGCTTTCACCCCTGTAACCCCCTGTTGTCTTGTCGGTCCTGCTCTCCCCGCAGTCGCTTACGAGATATCCCTCCCTCCCTCCCTCTCTCTCTCTCTCTCTCTCTCTCTCTCTCTCTCTCTCTCTCTCTCTCTCTCTCTCTCTCTCTCTTTGAATGAGGGATCTGAGACGGCGAGAGAGTCATATGGCCAACAAACGGTCTACACGTGAGAGTCATACATGCTGACTGAAATTTAATGGCTAGCCAAACCGCAAGGTGTTAGTGTTTGTCAGACGACGGAGCCAAGCACGCACTTGCCGGCAACAATTCATGGCTATGGCGATCTTTCGTGGTCCTCGTTATTATGGCATAATACCTGTCGATTGGCGGCTTAGCGACCTTGAAAGGTGAATCTGCCTAAGAACCGGGGAGGGAAGTAGGGAAGCGAAGTCGGCGAGAAGGGCGATTCCATCAGATCTGAAAGAACCTGGAGGTTGGCTGTTATGTAATATCCGATCTGGGGAAAACAGGCAGTTTGCCCCTCCATGGCCGTTGGCGCTTATGTATCCTATCTGGGGAAAACAGGTAGATTCCTTCTTCCACCAGAAAACGTCATGGGTTGTTTAACGCCTTACTCACCAAGTCAGCCACTCCCTGGTCTCGTCTTCTGGGGAAATTGGGGGGAGTTTTGGTGGCGGCGTACATTAAAATGTGATCGCACGAATGTGACACTGGTGATATCCACATTCAATTTGGTTCCTCTGACTCCTCAGACAATAGGTAGGGATTTGGATTGATGGGTTCTCTGTAATCCCACGTGCGTTTGCGGGGTTAATTCTGCGGCTTTTTCTGCACACATAATTGGTGTTTTGAATCGAGCAGAACGGTTCTGATGATCTGATCCATTGATTGTCCGCGCTGTGTCCTGCTCCTTCTGCTGCTTCTTCTGTTGGTTCTCCCTGGCAACGATGTTCTACGTGCTGAAACGTGTCCGTGTACTCTTCTATATTGCTGGTGGTGTGTGTATATATTGTTGCGTTTGCTTGTCAGAGGCTCGCCGAACATCGAGATTGACGATGCAACTTTCCTGGTCAACAGGGAGCGTACGCTGAATTACCTCAACTCCTTGGAAAAGGTAATCAGAACAGCCGAGCATAGTCGTCAAAACATCTTCCTTGCCATCCGATTCGGTTTTATACATCCTGCTGTTTGTTTTCTCTCTATTTACGCTGGTCGAGGCAGCAGTCTCCACGATTTTGGCGGTCGTCTTTGCCTACGTCGGGTCTTGTACGCCGGCTTTGTGCGTCACGAGACTCACGATTCAAATTTGACCAGGTTTGTGCTCGAGGTTTCTGTCCATTTCTACTCCGTGTTGCGCTCTTGGCGAGCTGTTGTGTTGTGTTGTGTTGTATGTGATGAGTGTTGCTGATGACGGCTTGTCTTTTTCGTTTTCCCTCCGCTGGTGCATTGCAGGTGTTTGTGAACGATCAGTTCCTTAACTGGGACAAGCAGAACCGCATCAAGGTCCGCATCGTCGCAGAGAGGGCTTACCACTCCCTCTTCATGAGGAACATGTAAGAGATGCCCATCCCTTTGCTGATGCTTACGTGTTAACACGCATTCATGAATGCTGCCGCCGTCATCATCTAACAATGAGCAGATGGACGTTTCGCTTCGTTTTTTTTTTTTTTTTTTTTTTTTTTCGATATCATGCCATTGAGTTCATGTGTTTGTGTTGGACGAGAGTATCCGACATTATGCGAATGGCCACGAAGCACAACACCTTTCGAAGTGGAGTTAGAGACACCTGACTAGCGCTAGAATATCACAACAAACAATGAACTTTTCTGTGCTGTGAAAGAGTCTTCTTTAGTAGGTCCGTCGATGATGATGACGACTCAACGACAGTGACGTTGCACTGACCAGGAGGCGGATATCCAACGCCGCCGTTTGATACCATCAAAAGGAGGCAATGATGGACGCATGTGGTGACTGACACACCTGTCATGACACATGGCTTCGTTTCGCTGCTGACCGCAGGTGCATTCGGCCGGAGGCGAGCGAGCTGGAGGGGTTCGTCCCAGATTTCACCATCTTCAACGCCGGCAAGTTCCCCGCCAACAAGCTGACCAAGTTCATGACGACCTCCACTAGCGTGARCATCAACCTGAAGAGGGCRGAGATGGTCATCCTGGGCACGCAGTACGCCGGGGAGATGAAGAAGGGCCTGTTCGGACTGATGCACTACCTGATGCCCAAGCGGGGAATCCTGTCCCTCCATTCCGGATGCAACACCTCGCCCGACGGTCAAGTCTCCGTCTTCTTCGGGCTCTCAGGTAACCATCGCGATGACGATTCTATCTCACCGTCACTCATTCCTTCGGGTGAGGAGAGGGAAAAAGGACAAACATCTGGTCTGTGGATACAAAGGTTTCATTGCGGGGAAGTTTTATGAATTTTCCGAATTTTCGGGCGGGCGAGCGGGCGGGGTCCCACTTTCGTTGCAAGAAGTACGTCTTTCTTTTGGACCCCGACAACATGTCCACTGGGAAACTTGAAAACGCGCTATTTCTGCATTTACCACCGTAAAGAAAAACAGAAACGAGCTGCGCTGCAGACGTCTATACTCGGGGTGGTTGCTGTTTGGCCCCTTTCTGAAAAGGACACTCAGTCTGAAGGAAGGAGGTAACTGACGAGACTCTTTCGGCTTTGGTTGTTGCAGGAACCGGCAAGACAACGCTGTCGGCCGATCCCCGTCGTCCTCTGATCGGCGACGACGAGCACTGCTGGAGCGACAGCGGAATTTCCAACATCGAGGGAGGCTGCTATGCCAAGTGCATTGACCTCTCASYGGAAAAGGAGCCRGATATCTTCCACGCCATCCGCTTCGGAACAGGTACACGGGGGCCGCAAAGATTTCCTTGCCCCAAAGCGCTCGTGCGGCGTCGAGTACTTATTTCTTTTGTGCATACGTTGAAAAAATAGCACTTCTTTTTTGCGAATTTCGAAATCCCACCTTCCTTTCTTGTTTTCAAGGTTGCCACCGATGTTGTTCTACGGAATTTCTACCCATCTGTCATCAGATTCCCTGGGTAGTTCATTTCATGGTCTGTTCATGAGATCCTGGACTGTATTCGTGCATTCTGCTAACTCCCCGTCGCCGTTGGTTGTCCGATTGGTGTCCTGTGCTGCATATTCTCTCTTCCAGTGCTGGAGAACGTGGTCTACGATGAGAAGACCAGAGTCGTGGACTATGCCGACAAGTCGATCACAGGTACGACACGTCACTTTAAAAACGGATTGATTGAAGTAAAGCGAGATTCTTCACGAGCGATTGCGGCTTAGAGAGGTCTGGTCGACTGTCGGTGTCTGCATCCAGTGGGCAGTCAAAAACCTCGCTTGCCGCGGCGGGGTCAAGTGCTTGTATGACATGGTGTAACGAATTTGATATCATACATATTACATCACAAGTCCACACGCATATATTAAACGGCAGTTTTCCCCTTGTGGATTTCCTTTCACTTTGTTGCCGTGCTCGAAGAAGTGCAGCGATCTGCCAGGGTTTTCACCCTACAGCCCGTTCATGTTTGCTGTAAATTGCTGAAGCCTGTCTTTTTTGTTTCGCTCTCCTTGTGTGTCGCTTTGTGGACAACCCAGAGAATACGAGGGCGTCCTACCCGATCGAGCACATTGCCAATGCCAAGATCCCATGCGTGGGACCCCATCCCAAGAACGTCATTCTTTTGACGTGCGATGCCTTTGGAGTGCTGCCACCCGTCAGCAAGCTCACGGATGCCCAAGCCATGTACCACTTCATCAGCGGCTACACGGCTCTGGTGAGTGAATCCCGACCGCCCCGCGCAGTCATTCGTAGGGGATCGCAGTCGTTGGCAAAGTATACCTTGTTCTCTTTTTGGGAGTCGTTGCAGGAGGCTGGCAGGCCTCTATTCGAATTCTATTCGCTGTCGGTCGACTTTCTTCGGCCTCGAAGTGCTAGCGCAGAGTGATGAGTTGAGGTCTTGGGAAGTTACTGATTCCCCCCCCCGGCATACAGACGATTTTGCGGCCGAGAGATCTGGCTGGGACCTTTTTAATCTGTCCAGTTATTGAGAGAGAAACTCGTTTCCACTTGGTTGGGTCGGTCGTTGTTTTGAGCAAATCGCTGTTCGTTAGAGATGCAGCTGCTGTGTTTTGCGTGCGTCCAAATGGTTGCTTCATGCTGTCACTGTTGTTGCTGTCGGCGACGTGCCTCCAAAGAACATCTGGTGGCGATTTGATTTGATGGCTGATCAGCGATGCTGCCTTTGTGGCAGGTTGCGGGAACTGAGGTGGGGATCAAGGAGCCCAAGGCCACGTTCTCGGCTTGCTTCGGCGCCGCGTTCATCATGTACCACCCGACCAAGTACGCTGCCATGTTGGCCGAGAAGATGAAGCAGTATGGGGCCACAGCATGGCTCGTTAACACCGGATGGGTCGGAGGCAGGTACGTCACAACACCGCAAGAAGGGCTATAATAACACATATTATATTATAAGAAATGGGCGAACACGTCTGATCGCTGTGTTCCGCAGTATTATATTCTGGGGGCCTGCAAAGAACCTGTTTGGACGCTGTTGGAATAATGACGTGAACAGATAGACACAAATGCACTTCACACACATGCCTACAAACATACATACATACATACATAAGCCTAGGTGCATGGGTTGCACCTGGCTGTCTGCGTAGGGTTGCTGTCGTTTATCCGGCTGGTTTCCGTCCTCATGTATGTGTCGATGATGCATCGGATGGCAGGGTCGAAAGTTACCCAGAGAGAAGGTTCGTAACAACTTGAAGGAAAGGAAAAGAGACTCCCATCTTCTCTAATGACATAGAGACTGTGTTTCACATCAGATTCTTCCCCTCTCGTTTGGACATAGCTTCATGAAAACCGGAACGCAGAGCTTGTTGCGCGATGTCCGTCGGCTCAAGTCTGTTGAGCCGAGCCGACGTCCCACAACAATCACTGCGTCGGTTTGGCTCAAGTATTGTCTTGCCTGATTGGGAGACTGAATCCACGTTTGATCGGTTCAACGCCTAGCAATGGCGATCTGTGTGATCTCACTCCTTGTTCGTATATGCCTCTGTTTTTTTCCTTTTTTCTTGTGTGTGTGTGTGTGTACGTGTTTACCGTTGCGTGTGTGCAGCTATGGCGTTGGCTCCCGAATGAAGCTGGCACAGACGAGGAAGATTATTGACGCTATCCACGACGGTTCGCTCGAGGCTGCGAACTTCTCCACGACTCCCATTTTCAACCTTCAAGTCCCGGACAAAGTCAGCGGTGTTCCCGATGAGGTTCTGCGACCAAGGGAAATGGTGGGTATTCCTTGCCCTGCCAGGCTGCCACCAAGCAACTTTCATTGTGTGTGTGTTTGTGTGTGTGTGTGTGTGTGTGTGTGTGTGTGTGTGTGTGTGTGTGTGTGACTGTCTCTTGCACGCACTCGCGCCCCTAACCCACGTCGATGCTCTCCTTGGAGATTGAGCAGCTCGAGAGCATAACACTTTCCACACATCAACATCAAGACCTGGCCGGCGATGCAGAGATTGAGCAGGTGCTGCGGAGTAGAATGAGCATTCGTTTCTCGGGATAGGTTTCACGTTGGTCTGGCGCTGAGTTGACAATTATGCCGTTTTCGCCACCAAAAAACACACGCCACGAGAAAACACATGAGATCGTTCCCTTCTCTGTTTATAGAACGTGCCACGAGGTACTGCCACTGTCCAAACCACTGACGGTTGATAGATCACCTGGTTGAGGGGCCACACTATACCTGCATTCTCTGTGTCACTTCTTCTCGAAGTGAAACTGATGCCCTGATGGACACCCTGCAACATTCTGAGTAGGACAATAATACAGTGTACAATGAAATGAAGCTATGATTGAATGAAATTCAATGGAGTACAAGTGACTGGGGGGGAGCTGTTCCCGGAACTTTCTGGGAATTAATTAAACTCAAGGCATTTGGTTTTCTTACTAACTGCTTAGTACTCTGGACAAATGCTGTCATATGTATCATGTGTTTTTTTATGCGGGAGGCTTATGAATTTGGCTGACGGTGATTCCTCTGTCTTCTGTCTGATGTCTTATGTCTCTCATTTTGGATTGCAGTGGGCGGACAAGGTCGCGTACGACGAGACCCTGACGAAGTTGGCAGGGCTGTTCAGTGACAACTTCAAGAAATTCACCACGCACAGCGTGGGCGGCGACGATGAGCTCACCAAGCGCATCCTCGCAGCTGGCCCTCAGCTGTAGTTCCGATTCAGCACCTCTTTTTGGGCTTCGCCTGTCGTCATATTCATTGGGCTCTGTCGCAATAACTGTTGCCATCCAACACATTCAGATTTCGGCACAGGCTACCTATCAAGTGACTCTAGCCGTCTAGGATTTATCCATTTTGTTTGTCTGCATGTCTGCAGTAGTAACTATCACAGCGGTGCACTGCTGTAGTCAAAGAGAGCCCTCCACCGCAGTGGGAGTGAAGGGATTGTTTTGCCCCCCAGGGCGTGGACATTCCTTTTCTGTTGTCTCCTGCTTTAGGCAGGCGCTTACAGTGTTTGGAGCAATCCCCTTGGCCTTTGGCTTTTGGGGAAGAAGGAAGGAAGGTGTGAAACTGCTGAAGTAGTCGGCAGAAGATTCTTCTCGATGAGGTAGGAAAGGAAAACCAACATCTTTTTGAAGGCTTCAGATTAGACTTCAGGTCAGGGAGGGAGATACTTTGACGCAAGTGACTATGATGACTTGCCTTAGCTTTGAAATTGAGTTTGACCTCGATATGCTTGTGACTCTTTGTGAGCAGCCAACTGCGTTTTCATTTTGAAATTGACTTTGACCTCGAGACGCTTCTGAGGATTCAACAAGTAATGTATATACACTTCGGCACTCTTTGAAGCTTTACTCATGTTTTCGCCATGGGCTCTGGGATGATGGAATTCACAGAAGAACCACTCTCGAACTATCTCTATTTTTGCAAGCTCTTAGAATTTAGAAACTGTGACGCGCTGTGGATGGCAACTGCTCCCCGACAACAATTTGGTTGCAAACCCTACAGTGATCATCCTGCCTCTGTCGGTCTGGTCTAAGCCTGCTTTATATGATATGGGTAGTATGATTGGGTATGCTTATTGGCCAACTCGATTCCGTGTATTATCCTTCTCACCGTTCTAGACCTCTAGTTCCTCGTTTTCCCTTGGTGGCACTGCAAACTGAACTCGGCCTTGATAACCATAACTGTTGATCAATAAATAATAAGCATGCGTAGTCCAGATAAGCAGCAGGCATTCCGATGGCCTGGTCGACCATCAAGTAGGCACCTGCACACCAGAGCATCCAAGTTGAGGGGCCCGGGAGTTAGGAGGCGCGGTGTTGGGCGGTGGGATGGGGGAGGCAGGGGGAGTGCAGAGAAGGTTCCCTCCAGTCTTTGTCGAACTCTGTTCCATCACAAAGTATGCCGTTCGAGCGCTGGCAAGATGGGGAAGGCAAATAGAAAATGTGTGACAACATAGACCAACCAGGAGTATGGACTGAACGCGAATAGACAGGCAAGCAACAAAGGGCTTGTACCAAATGTGTGAGAAGTTGAGACCAACCACTGCAACCAGGAGTATGGACTGAACGGGAGTAGAGATGCAAGCTACAAAGCGCTTGTACAACGTCTCTACAACGTCCGACTCAGGAGGTAAACACTCAAGTTGTGACTCAACCAAATAATTAACTGGACTGGGCTGAGAGTTTTGCCCCCAGTCTACCCAGTCACACAGACACCAAGCACAGGCGTCCATGTGATGCGCAACCTCGCACCCAGCATGACGTTCCGTACTTTGAACAGTGGTGAACGCCTATCAAAGTAGTTGGGGGTGTGGCCGAGGATTTTTTGCCGTGAGGTTGAATCACCCGGGCGAAATGGGGGATTCTTGTTCCGGGCCGAGGGTTGCCTTGCTTGGGGTTCGATCCATCTCGTCGAGTGCAAGGGACGGAGGAACAGATTGTCCAAGAGGGACCATCAACGAAAACTCAAAAAGGGAAAGCGAATGAAATCGAAAGAGGAGAACGAGGAGGTGGAGTTTTTCCGCTCCCTGTTGCGCCAGGTTCGCACGGTCCTTGGGGGCGGTAGCTCTGGGATCGGGTTTCAGGCCTCGGTGTCAGACTTGTCGAGCCCGCACGGATGACCCTGCTCGGGTCGCCTGTGGTCGGGCGGGTCGAGGGAACCCAGGTTCGGAAGTAAGCCAGGAGCACGACCGCATTGTGGGAGAATTCTGGGAATTGAGCCGCACCTTTGTATCCCAGGACTAGTCTTCGCTAGGAGCACGAATCCCCCTGACGACATCAGGGGCAGTTAAACCGAGGCCTCCACGTGGCATGGGCCACGGACCAGGGCAACACAGGCAGATCGGTGTAGGGCAACACCAGGGGAGGGGAAGAGAACCGATCAATCAACGCAAACCCACTTCCTCCAATGTGACAGGCTGTAGTGGGGTTATACAAATGAACTTGCTCTGTTCATCGCAGAGCGCTCCACATGCCCGCATCGGCGGCATCGCAGTACACGCTATCGTCGTCTGCAATGAGGAAGGTCGGCAGCACGCTGCAAGGAACCGATACGAAGGTCGAGCTCAGGCAAGGGCCTGTGCTCATGTCCGTCGAGACGAACACTGGCTCAATGTGACGATTGACGAAATCCTGCCTTGCTCTCTTTCTCTCGCTCTCTCTCTGCGTCAACGTGAGTGTTGGGTTGGGGATTCGGGGTTTGGCCGAGTCCCGGAGAGATCCGCCGCGTCGCGGGATGCGAACGACTGATCGCTCTGGTTACTCAGTGAAATCGCGGGGCTAAGCCCGCCCGTTTCGCCCAGATCCTTCATCGCTCGCCGCTCGGATGGGAGGGGGAGCGGGAAAAGGTGGGCATGCGATACCGCGCATACACGTGGCATTAAGGGTGAAAAGGGGCTCGGGGAAGGGAGGAGGGACTCACACACTCATGCACTCATGCAAACGATCGACACCGAACAATCCCTATCATCGCGCCTGAAGCCTGAAGGCGCACACACACACGTACTCACAAAGTCCTCCTGGACAATGACACATCCAACATCCATAAACTCTCATACCACAACATGCATACAACAGAATACCCCTACATCGAGACCTTGCACATTTACACTGGGACAAAGCAGCAATGGAGATAAAAGCAAGCTCCTTAGCATACAAAATATCTCACACGACTGGCCGCCTTGGGGTCAGCCCCCAATCCGTCAGAAGTTCTCAGAACCATCGACAACCATAGCCACAAGGCCCCGCCGCTGTCGGCGTCCGATCTCCTCCACCGCTCAGTCCCTCCGACTGTCTTAGCCCAAGTCTATCGCTAAGCCCGCCCCACGTCGTCACTCCGCCTATCACTTGGGCTCGTCAAGCGTGTTCGACGCTGCAGACATCACGTATAGCTCACACAACATTGCAGCTGAGATCAAAGAGAGCGAGAGGAAAGGGTTGCGAGAATTTATAGCGCGGAAGGCGGTGGAGAGCCAGCGTGAAGCACGGGGTGTAGATAAGCAAGACATAAGAAGGGCAGAGGTTCCAAAAAGATCGAAGGAGGTGAGTGGAACGATCTGCGTGATTGGGGTGGTCGTCCAAGTGGGGCGCGCCTTCCGCTCTCACCACATTGACTCGTCCATCCCAATCACACAGCAAATCATTCGCAAGGATGGGTAAGGAGGGGATCTGAGATCAGACTTCGTTTGAGGGAAGACGAAGAGGCATGCAAGAAGGGAATGCACGACAAGAAGGGAAGATGGCGTGGGGATGCAAAGCGGGAGAAAGGGTTTATGCGGCGCATAAAAAATTGAAAAACAGCCACGCGCGCAGAAATTCAAAATTCTAAAATTCCTACCCCCCGCTAATTCCCAACTTTTTCTTGAATTTCTCGGCGGTCGGCGCGGCCACTAACTGACCGCGCGAAAAGTCATCAGGGGCAGTTCTCTTTTCAAAAAAAAGAGAAAAAAAAAAGAAAAGAAAAATAGACCCCACTCTTCCCGATCATTTAAAACCCGCACTTCGACGCTTATGTGGGATTTTCCCTTAAGGGTACGGGAAGCCGCTGAGTACGGATCCTGGCTTATCACATCCACGCAGCCACCAAACACCTGCAACCAGTGCATAATCAGCAGGGGATCAAACACACGACCTCCTCCTCGGCCTACCAGTGTATCACAAACTCTTGATTACTAATAGGCAATACTGTCAATACGTGTTGCATTACGAAATTTGGAGCTATCATCTGGAATGTGATTTTCCATTTCCCTGGACCTGCTGTCCTTCCCTTGAACAAATAACTACTGGAAGTATCTATCATGAGGTCCACACAATCACCTCTTATGTTGTTATCCTCCTCCTTCCTCCTTCATGATCTTACATACAAACGCTTTTCTGGAGGAGCCATGCTAAGCATGCTTTCCAGTTCCTCTATATGTGACCCTTGCGCCACTTCGTTATGGTCAGTCCCAAATGACATACCAGAGGGTCATTCAAAAGCAACATGTAGAGCTGTTGTTTTCTTGTTTGCTTATTCTTCTTGCTTTAATAAAAAATCATTCTACAACAGTGCCGGACCCATAAATGTGACCGGCACCGGTCACATGAACGTGACTGGCCGGTCATGGGGACTCAAATCCGCTGTGTTACCGTTACCGCGCGTTTCGCGTTCAGTTTTTGAACGCGGTGAACGCGCGTTCACTGAACGCGGGTAAACACGTTTGACACGTTTGCGCAGGGTGTTCTTGGTGCGGGGGTGTGGTGCTAGGGCCGCGCGTGTGTGTGTGTGTGTGTGTGTGTGTGTGTGAGAGAGAGAGAGAGAGAGAGAGAGAGAGAGAGAGAGG